GACAAGCGGAAAGTTCTTTGAATCATTTAAATCGGACGCTTAGTTCTCTCAAAAACTGCCATTATTTACATATTTAGCTCCGTATCTTCGAAATGGCTGGGCCTGCCTTTGCCAAAAACTAATAGACGCTTCTCCCAATCATTACTAATTGAATGTTTTTTAGATCATTCAAATCGGATACTCCGTTCTCTCAAAAAGTCGATTTCTATTTTCTGCACTCTTTGCGCCGTATCTCCGAAACGGCTGGACCTGCCTTCGCCAAAAACTAATCAGCTCTTTTCCCTATCAATAGGAATCGAATGTTTTTTGAACCATTCAAATCGGTTGATCCGTGCGCCCGAAAACGTGACTGGAAATTTGTATCCATACATACATACACACACACACACACACACACACATCCATTTTTTCTGAGGTATGCCAAAACGTTCAGAAAACTTCAAAACGTCGAGAAATGTAAAAATTTTCAATTTAGATTTTCGGCTCATTACAATAACTTACCCTACGGGAAGTTAATAATATTTAATCCACTTCTTGAAGTATTAAATAAGTATTAACTAAGGGAGGTATTGTGGGCTAAGTATATGGGAAAGTATTAAATAATATTCATTTAATTAAATTAAAATTAAGAAAAAATGTGGTTGATTGTATCATTTTACAGAAGTCATATTTCATTATTTCATATAATTAATTGTGACTTCTATAAAATGATACCAACTGTATGATATAGTGGCTGCAGAGTATTATATTCTAGTTTTCATTGGTATTAATATTTATTACTAAGTTTATATGAAATAATTTTAATTATATTATCAAAATTATAAATACAATTGCCCAATTCATCAGGGTAATATTTTTCAAATAATGATAGGGTAACTTTGAGGATTGGAGACTATTGGTCATTGTAGATTTTCTGCAAGGTTTAGGAAGATAACATGGGATGGTAAAATTTATGTGCAGATAGTTAAAATCGGTAAACAATTTACTTAGGGCAACGAGTGTTAGCTCGCAAATTTCGGTTAACTCTTGCTTCTGCCATATGCGGCACTCTTGTTTGTGTTAAATGTTTGTCTTGGGAATAACCTTCGCGTATGTTTATTTTGAAATCAAAATTGGGTGCTGACATACGGGACGAGACGATTTTAACGTTAAAATTCTGGGAAGACTTTGAATTATTTTTGTTTGAAGTTTCCAAACAATTGTACGTTTATCAAATACAGAAGTTTTAATTGTTTGCATTCGTTTGCAGTTTAAATTACAAGCATTTATTTTCCTAGACGTTAAGCAATTGCGCATACATTCATTTTGTGATGGTAGAATGCTACCCAATAGCAGACATTCTATTGGTGATGATAAATCATTATCATTTTGTTGGATTTTATTATGAATTTGTCAAATTTTTTAGAAAGCAATAAAATAGCATTTCTAATAATAAGATTAAAAAATATACAACTAGTTGTGCATGTCATCGTGCCTTAGGGCACGATCTCTAAAATTGCTGGAACTTCCCATCCCGTAATGAAACAGTCGAAGAATTTTACATGTTTTAGCATGAATCAAAATTAAAATCCGAATCATATTCGATATTGAAAAAAGAATTTTTTTAGTTTTTTTTTAATTTTGAAAAAAAAGACCCGTTCTCTCAATAACTATTTTTTCACTTTTTGTTCCGTATCTCCAAAACGGCTTTTTTTTTTTTAGTTTTTCTTGTATATCGAAAATATTTAAGATTTTATTTTTATTCTGACTAAAGTTCTAATATAACTTAAACAAATAATTTTAAATTTGCAATTGAAATTGAACCTGTCTTTTCCAAAATCTAATTACCATGTCTCCCTATAAATAGGAATCAAATGCTTTTTGAATCATTCAAATTGGTTGATTCGTTTGCCAGAAATTGTGGACATAAAATTGTGTCCATCCACACATACACGAACACATCAATTTTTTTTAATTGTAAGGTATGCAAAAATGTTCATGAATTTCTGAAACATGAAGGTACGTAAAATTTTTATTTTTGATTGTTAGACTATTTTAACCTAACATGCAGGAAGTTAATAAATGCAACATTTTTTAATAACCTTTACACTCTAAAGTATAGAGTGTTTTAGAGACTTGCTTAAAATGTACAATAAATTTAATTAAAATGATAGCCGTAGCAAAATAGATTTTTTCCATTGCCATTTATGTAATTTTTCCGTTGTCTGCTCATCTTTTACCTAAACTTATTGTAGAGCTTTTTGCGAAATTTTGTTCTCGAAATGGCAACTTAGATAACTGGTACATAATTAGGCCACTCAATTAGTTACTTTATCTTAATCACTTAGCACGTATTTTGTTTCACCTTCGAACATTACGAAAATTACATAAATAATTTAGGTAAACGTTTGCGAAAATGTAAGACTCTACGCTGGATTTAAAATTCTTGCAATTTTTCATAGAGATTATCTTCTCGTGCGATTTTTCAATATTTATGTATTACTTGAGAAATCTTTTTACTGAACGTTTTTTGACATGTTTATAATGCAGTTAACGATCAATAAAATCTATTTACTTTTCTCATAATACAAATAATTACTAAAGTCATTGACTTTTGAATACTTGCTCTTGAAATTTGTCAGAATTGGTCATCTTGAATATAACAGGAAGCTTAAAAATATTTTCTATCCAGCATCTCATAAATGCTTTGTTGTACATGTACTTGAATTAGCATAGTATTCATCTTTAATAATAATATTCAAAGACCTTCACGATTATTCAAAATTCAAATTTTTCGGCGGCCATGTATTTTTTATAAATAAATTGAGTTATTGATTTAATATTGACTATTTTTGTATTTGTATATTTCTCCATAGTTGTATTATAAAATATTGCATATCTTCACCTTTACTCAAGTAAATACATACGATTTATTAATTTTAACTTAAATATTAGCCTATTATTATTAAATTTTAGCTTAAATATTAGCCATAATCGAAATATAATTATTATTTGTTTATGATTAGAAATACACAATGATAATGGGCTAATATTTAAAATTACACGTTTCCCATCTTATATGTATTACTTTAGTTACCTAATTTAATAGGTTATTCTAAGTATATTGAAATATAGATAAATCGCGTTCATTTATTCAAATAGAATTTTGTGCTAAAATTAAAGTTTTTTTTTGTCAATCAAAACTTTATTTAAGTAAAATGTAAAGTGAAGTTAAATTTATTTATATTATAAATATGGCATAAGCATTTATCATACATGTCCAAATTATGAATTCTACAGTTTTTAAAGTTGATTGACATCAATATCATCGTGAATTCTTGTCAAGTAATTAGAAGGGTAATCAAGTGATTACTATAGCGTATTGTCTAAAATATTTGTACAATGTTTATTTACCATAATTACAAAATAATTATCAACTGCATACTCATAAAATTCCAAAAATAAATTATATGTATTTAATTTTGGCGTATATTTATAACTAGCTTGTGATTTTCTTATATTAGAGTTTAAACAATCATCATATAACTTATTATTATTTATTTTGATAGTTTGATTTATTACGTACTCTGTAGAACTTTTTTATTAGTTTTTGATCTTATAATATAATTTTTGTCGCGGTCATTATTTTAAATAATTTGCTGCATAAAATACTCAAATGATGTAAATTATTAAGTCTGTTCCTAATCTTACGATTTTTCAATACAAATAGATAAATTTCTAATCTTGTTTGCTTATTGTCGAGTACTTATAGTTAGTTCTATATTTTTATATTACTATGTTAGATATAATCTGTAAATAATGTGCTGAAATTGATAAAATCTTAAATTTGTTCAAATAAATCTATGTGATAAATGAGGTAGGCACCAGTTTTTTTTGATTATATAAAGATTTTTTTTTCATTATAAAAAAACATGTACCACTTATTGTACCAGATT